GTCTTACATTATTTATACACTAAACGGTTTTGTTTATATTTTGCGGCTTAAAAGGCGAACAAACTATAATATTTTTCTTCCTTAAACTTTAAATAGACAATACAAAGCGCTTTTTATCAAGTAAGGAATTGGCGTAGTGTCTAAGGCGACGGACGATTATCCAAAAGATGTCTTCAGTTCAAGTTCGAATCTCACTAGAGAAAATATTAAAAATTATGAAAAAATAATGTAGAAAAATTTTTTTTGTCATAGTATTTTATGAGTATTTATGAGAAAGCGTTTATTCTATGAGTAATTATGAAAAATTATGAGAAAATTTAATTGAAGAACCTACGAAACGACAGGATCTGCGCGCAATCTGCAGCCAATCTGCCGTCATAGTCTGTCGATAGGCTTTGCGCGCAATCTGCCGCCAGTCTGTCGTCAGAGTCTGTTCGCAGACCCTGTCAACAGTCTGGCGGCAGATTGGGGAGACAGATGTCTATGGATCTGTTGACAGATCCTGCTCGGATTCGACAGATCCTGTCGACAGTCTGACGTCAGTCTGCGCGCAGATTGCTTACTGGGAAGTTATATAAGAGTTATATTGTTGCGTCCACCCGCGTTCACGCAATAAATGAGACTCTTTTTTATAGAAAGATTAACAAAAGCTTTTATGTACAGTTTATTACAACGTTTACACAAGCAGTCAAACAGAATCTTTCGTGTCGCGGATAACACCGATACATCCGTCACGCCCCAGGACTCGTATCAAAATCCCCCATCCTCGTTTGACACAGAAACCATGGCAACCCGTTATTCTCCTCTCCAGCTGACAAGCTTTAAATCGATAATCGATTCCAAACGTTCCAAGCACGAGCGTAACAATATGTTATTTGTTAGCGAATTAACACATATTTTTTTGCTGTATTACAATGATTTATTCATTAGTATGGTTCAAATAAGTGATAATGTATGATTATTTTGTCTAAATAATAAAAAAAACTGGCATTTCATATTTCGTGTCATTTCACTTATTCGTGAAACTCGTGTGGTTTCGATCCTGTGTCAGGCGGTCACATATTTTTATAGAGAGGGACGGAGGGAGGGGGAGAGAGGGAGGCAGGGAGGGAACGAACGAACGAACGAACGATCCTTCTCTCTCCCCCTCTCCCTCTCTCTCTCCCTTTCTCTCTCCCTCTCTCTCTCTCCCTTTCCCCCTTTCTCTCTCTTTCACTCGTTTTCAGGCCTGGTCCTATTAGCCCTTTCACCACAGCTTCTATGATATGTGGAAGTATGTACGCAATGTTCCTCTGTATCCGCTAATCCGATCCATCCCTCACGGACATGATTTGGTAATTTGATTAGCCTAGGGAACTTTCTCTCTAGACAATTTACATCACTGCGATTAATCCGATTGAAAATCCGACTGCTACACGTAAACACCCAAGGTTGCATTCGACGGAGTAGAATTTTTTGGAAGTACTTAATCATTTCTTGCAGTTGCAAGCCTTTCAAACAGAAATACTTAATCACTGCACGAATTTCAGTTTTTCAATTTTTACAAAATATGAAAGGTTATATGCTTTCGGTGGCTGTCACAAATATACTGATTGTCATAGGCTGCGTTCCGTGTTATGCATATGCGCGCATTTATCTATAGTTTATGTCACTTATACTGTAAGAAATACTTGCTTCATGCGCAACGCTTCGGAACGCACCCATAGCTGTCTGCAACTGTGTAGTGAAAGTTTTGAAGGTTGGCACTACTGGAAATTCACGGCGCATTGAAGGTGGTAACACCACTAATGTGTTATTTAAGGATGCGTTCAGATTCCCTATCCGGGTACACTCTAGTACTAGAAGTGCTATAGTATATGTGACGTATACTATAATGTTTCTAGTAATAGAGTGCATCAGGATGAGGAATCTGAATACAGTCTCAAAGACTTATCGATCAACCTGGTAATTCGACACAGGTAGAAAGAATTAAACCTTGCAGATAGATTCGATGTCATGATAATAGCTGTTCCTTATCGTTTTTGTCTCATATTGGGTAATATTCTGCTTCATTTTCACACGTACTTTCACCATGCAAAAGGGTTTTTAATTTATCACAGGTAGAAAGAAGTAACTCTTATAGATAGATTCGATGTCGTAATGGTAACTTTTCCTTATCGTTTTCGTTTCATATTGTGGGATGCTCTACTTCATTTTCGCACGTACTTTGCAAATGGTTTTTAATTCGGCACAGGCAGATAAAAAGAAATAATCTTTACAAAAAAATTCGGTGTCATTGTAGTAGCTGTTCCGTATCGTTTCCTTCTTATGGCTCCTGCACACAGGACGCGGTAATGCTTGCCGTGCGGCGGAAGACAGCCAATCAATATGTTGTTTTTCCGTAAGAGCTAGAAGGTTATTACGGAAAGCAGCATATTGATTGGCTGTCGCGCGAACTTCCGAACTGTCGCGCGGCAAGCATTACCGCGTCCTGTGTGCAGGAGCCATTATAGCGTGTTCGACTGGCCTTGGGTTAATCGCTCCGAGAGCGATTAATGACGTCATAAGTCTCTACTAGCCAATCATAAAGCTTATAAGTACTTGTTTGACCAATAAACGTAGGCTGAATAACCCAGAGTCAGCCGAACATGCTATTATATTGGGCAATGTTCAGTTTCATTTTCACACGTACTTTCACCATGCAAAAGGGTTTTTAATTCGGCGCAGATAAAAAGAAGTAATCTTTGCAGAAGGATTTGGTGTCATGACAGTATCTGTTCCATATCGTTTTCATTTCATATTGAGGAATGCTCCGCTTCATTTTCGCACTTTCACCATACAAAGGGAATTTTTATTTGGTACAATCAGCGTGACAAAAGTTTTGCAGAGGGAGTCGGTATCACGTCAAAGACATTTTCCTACAAATATTATTTTGCATTGACTTGACCGAACTAAAAATGCTTTGGTATGATGAAAGTACATACAAAAATGAAATGCAGCATTCCTTATTCAGAGATGAAAACGATGTAAAACTATTCCCATCGTAACACTGATATCCTTTTGCAATAATTACAGCGCACTTACTACTCCAATTTATATGATAAAATTACATGTGAAAATATAGTGAAATATTGTTCAGTGCAAAAATAATATCTCAAATTTCAATTAAAAATTATATAGAAAGCTCACATATTAGATAACATTTTTTTCAAAACAATATTTGTAAATTATACTTATACGTACAACACACTTCTCGCAAAAACTTTTTCTTTGATTCATCTAATACACAAGCAGTTTGAAGAATTCATCAGAAAAGTAGCGAAAGCCTATTTCAGAGAGAATATAAATATCGGCAACGTGGCATTCACATTTACGTACAGTTTGTGTAAGAAAATTGAAATGACAACGTAGCACATACACTTGCACATTCACGTATCTCTATCATAGCGGCATCATGTCAGCGTCTATTTGACGATCGTCTTTATATCTATATGTATCTATATTAGAGATGCCCGATTCTGAATCTATTTGATTCTTTCCCCAAAAATAGGCTTATTCGTGTTGTTTGAACTCTTCATACTTTTCGTATTTAAAACTAGACAGAAGTATATTGGAAGAAGCAAAAACGAGACAACCAACTCGATTGTTTCTTCCAAGCGTCTGATTAGGCGTCCATCTCTTTTTAAAAGCGAAAAGTATGAAACATGCAAGCAGCACGAACAACCCTTTTTCCCTAAATTTGTTAAAGAAAGAATCGAATTGATTAAGAATCGGGCATCTCTAATCTATATATACATGAAATCAGTATCGTCGATAAATGATAACGTTTTTTACTTTTTTGACGATCGCTTCTACATTGTCGACGCTTAACGAGTTTGCCGTCTACTCCAGCATCCCCTTAAGGCGATGCTGCTAGGCTCGTTTTCATAGAATACTCTTTTCTTCTAATTGCATACATAAAACTACAAATGCTTTTACAGCGTGAAAGTATAAGCGATAATGAATGCCGCATACTAAAAAGTTGCATCGAAATCAACAAAAAATTTTGAATTTACTATTAAAAATGCGATATAGGTATCATATTTAGTTTCATGTGACAAATTTAGAGCTCATACGCTTCAAATACATAGTATGCGGTATAGAAAAGACTTTCAGGAACATTATGAAAACATCGTAACCCTAACAGCACGGGAACATTCTGAGGACGTTCTGAGTAGATCGTAATGCGTATATTGCAATCATCTCAGAATGTTCTCATATGTACTGCGATCGACTGAGTACGTTCTGAGTACGTCCATATGTCTGGGGTAGCAGCTACTATAGAATTTCGCTGCGAATGTCGTGCGAACGTTCGCAGCGATGTCGGCAGTCTCAGGACGGAATGAAAACGGGAAGGTTTCAATACATCACGTATAGATGCACACATACATGTGCAGCTAGGCGCGCGCGCATATATAGGTTAAGTTAGGTTATTAATTGGACATTTTTATTTCATTATAAATTCGTTTTTATTAACATAAATTCATTTACAAATGAATAATATATTCTTTTATTGAGATTATTTATAACAGACTTTTATAAACACAAATAACACTAATACTAATAATACTTTTATAAACACTAATTGATTGCGATTATCGCCTTTGCGGCGTTCTCGGCCGTCGGTGAGCGACGCTTTCAACTACTTGGAGTCGATGGGAGCCAGAGATAGTAGAGAATCTTACACTAGGAACCTTTACTGCTAATGGCATCTGTTCGGGACTCGCCTCATATTTTACTAAAATCTTGTCGCCGTTCGCGATTCCCTCGAATCGATCGACCTAGGCTTCTCGAAGATTCTATTTAGAATTTTCGAGAAGTCGATGATATACAGATTTCTGTACGTGCTACCTGTGACCCGCGTCGCCGGTAAACATTCGGTCTCGCGACTCTTCGATCTATTTTGTTTGCTAGCTGGTTGCTATGGCAATCTAAATTCGGATCGCGAAATCAAAGCTCTAATAAATCAACAACGAAAAAGGAAAGTCATCTCGATGTGTCGCGAGGCCGAACCAATCACCGATCGCCAGCTTTGAAACTGCGGAGATAAAAGCTCCGTCTCGCTATAACGGGCGATCTAACTCGTGCGACACTCTCTCAAGTTAAAACGTTTGACGTCTCATCAGGCGCATCTCAGTTTCGCGAAGTCTAAAGCTGCCGACCGGAGCGAGTCAGGCTCTCAATTCTTGTATCGCGAAAGCGACCTCCGAAGTCTTCCGTCCGCGAAGACCTCTCTGCGACAAAAAACATTGTTCGACGATTCGAGCGCGTCCGCCCAGCGAGGACGGAAGGTGCGACCAACAGCGACGACCGATCCGGAAGTCTCTCTTTCAATAAATTGTTAATTGGGACAACGAAGTCAACTCATTGACGCACCACACCCGTCTCCCAGTGATCCCCGCGGAGCTAAGCCGGCTTCTATGCGCTCACTGCAAGCGCGCACAGCATCCTCACCTAAAACCAATAAGCAAATGCTATGCGGCTTTGCAATCAAGGATAACCTCAAACTCTTTATCAGAATATTTGTATAAAAATTTCTACGAAATATTAAGAAATATTATGTAATTTATATGTAAAAATTGTTTCGCTAACTTTATTCAATATTTTATGGAATTAAAATTAAGGAAGAAAAAGGATTACCTTTGATATTAATTAGATCGATCAATCGATCTGCCTCGTCACTGCTCGTCACAACATTAATGGACTGTACCCACGCTACTCGGCTACCGGAAAAAGATCGAAACAGAAATGATATATCAGATGGCGTTGGTATACGTACCATTTCCGTACTTTGAGTCGGTACCTGAGAAATACGCGCGCGATACAAATACGTACGTATCATTTTAGTCAAACCTGAGAATGTACGCACGCGATAGAAAAGTGTACGTATAATTTCCATATCCCTGAGTGAAATCTGAGAACATTCGCGCGCGAAAGAAAACCGAATGATACTATAAGTGACGTTCTAGCGTTCAATTTAGTACGTCACAGATGATCACAGTATAATGAGTACGAAAATGGGATGATTCGCAGTACGTGCTGTTAGGGAAATGAATTTTAATAGATAGTTTAAATAAAAAGAGAATTGCAGTAATAAGCGATGTGTGTTAGACGTTTAATGGTTACGTGGTAAAGAAGACTTGATTTTTAGTTCACGCATGTCCTGGAAGAAAGCGCTGCATCTTGAGCTGGCTATATACACGTACACGCACACACATACACACGCATACGCACACACGCAAACACACACACACGGAACGAAGACGATCGTCAAAATGTCACATTTGATAAGCGTGAACATGTTCGCGCTACTGTTGCGCCGCAGTACTTTTTCATATATCGTTCCTTCACAGATGTTATGCAAGTATGTGTGCTACGTTGTCATTTCAATTTTCTTACATATAGACGATACGTAAATGTGAATATCATGTTGCCGATATTCACATTCTCTCCAGGAGAGCCTTTCGCTGCTTTTCTGATGAATTCTTCAAACCGCTTATGTACTGTACTGAGAAAAAAAATGGAATAAATATAATCTCACTATATTTTATAGTTCGTTTTGACCTCAAACATATATTTATAATTCATCTAAACATGAAGATATAGTAGAATGAACATAAATTTATAGTCACCATCTTATTATTCTATATATATATATGCATATTATTTTATATATATTATTCTAAAGCACCTTTTGGGAATATAGTTACATGTACCTATATTTGCCAAATA